CATTAGTCAGTGGCCAGTGGTTGTTGATGAGCTGCAAAAGGACGTTCTTGAACAGCTCCCAGTCATCGTTGGCATTTCCCGTAAACAATGAGCCCAGTCGAGACCGGATAAGGCTGCCCTCATCTTCTTAAAGTCGCCTCGCCAAACATTCCGTCTTTTTTGGTCTGGAGTGTGTGAAATGGAGAATAACGAATAATCCCACATAAGCACTACATGATCACTATGGCCAAGGGGCGACATGGAAGTGATCTCGTCTATGCTGTCTGGTGTTTTTGTAAAAACCAGATCCAGGCAGTTTGTCCTTTGTCCTTCACGTGTTCTCGTTGGGAACATTACATGTTGTGTGAGGGACGCCTTTAATGTTTTGTTCAGCAGACGGTAATCGAACGTCGATTTTGGACCTGATGTTTGGAGGGTATTCCAGTTTGTTCCTGGTGCGTTGAAGACGCCCATTATCATGATGCTAGGTGGACTGGAAAATTTCTCCAACTGCTCCATTAGTTGAGTGTCGGCGATTTGGTCTGTCCTAGGTGGTAGGTAGACAGTGAGGACATCGAGACGCGGCGAACCGGTAGCCTTGATGGTTAACCAAATAGCTTCCGTGCCGCACGCAAACTGGGTGATGTTTTCCAACACTGCCAGGCCTTCATTCATATACACAACTATATCTGTTGCAGAAATTCCTCCCTACCCTTTCTCGCAAAGGTTTTTCTTTAGGCAACTTGCATGAGGGCTTGCGATCTCTAAACAAATGTTCTTATCGACTTCAGCGGCCGCTCTTAAAAATAGCTTCAACACTGATCTGGAATATAGTAAATTATAAGCCAGCAACATTTTTTAGCATCTAGAAGATTAATATTACTGTGACTCAAAACTTATTTTAAAAGGACATGCACAAGTGAATCTTCCGTCGAATCGGCAAAAAAGTGCAGTTTACCATTTGTGGAAAAATTGAAACAACGGTAAATAATCTATTTCAAACGAGGCCAAATACAAATGATATTTATGTGATTTTTTAGTTTTTGCAAAGAAAAAGTCCATTTTTCACGTGAAGAAAGGGATGCGCCTGAGATAGAAACGCCCTACAGTTAAAAGTGCATAGGGGTTCTAGACGTTCCTCCTCAAGGAAGAATTCTTAACCTGAATGAGGCTATTCGCTGTAGATGCGATCATATTATCTATCGGATGACCGTGGAGACGACCGTTATGGTCGCGGTAAAGGAGAAGACCGCCGCGAACATCCAGAATCCGCTTGGAGTCGAGGCAAAATAGGCCACATTAAAGGGCCGCAAGTATCATGCTAGCGCGCATAGACGTAACCATAATAATTCTTTGCTGGCGTAATAGGCCACAATAAAGGAGGCGAAACAGAGGGACCCTTCAAGATGTTCTACAGATCTCTCGGGGTCGGAACGGGGATTGGATTGTGGTATTACAGAATTGAACTGATCCGTCCTTTTGTTGTTTTACGAACGTCCCTGTTTTTCTTCTAAGTTTCAGAATCGACTGGCGAGAACCGGATCCCAACCCCTGTAGCAGCCTCCAGCTCTACACTTCCCCTTGTGCAGCCAGATACTGAACCGAATTATTCTGTCAGAGAGACATCCCTTGACCAACGCAATCAAGGAGTCTGCCACACCCCTGTAACTCCCTTTCTCCGTGTTACAATTATTCGATTACAATAAACGGTTCCTTGTATCACTCCTGCTGACGATTGTTGCTGGATTACTTGTTATCATGTCGTCTGGGACACGGAATCAATCCATTGACGAGCCCTTCTCAGTTGGTCGTCCAGCGAAGGACTACGAAGGCACCGGCGATCTGAAGCCCCTACAGGACGAGGACAAGCTGGGTATTACATTGGCGGCAGCGGTGCTTCCGACTTCCACTCCTCACTATTGTGTCAACCCCCTTCGTATTCCAATCTCCCCTTGAAATTAACAGCTTTTGACGAGAAAGAGGATTTTTCAGCCTGGCTCCGCCGCTCGCAATTTCATGTTGGTGTAGTCCCCACCGACAAACATAGCATGGCAATTTTACAGTGCCTGACTCCCAACCAGTTAGACAGGGCGTTGGATGCCGGATTGTCCGCCGAGACTCCGATTAGCAACCTATGTCAGGAGTTGGAGAAACTCCTTAAACCCACGATGTCAAAAGCCGAGGCACTAAACCAATTGTATTCACGATGACGGCGAATTGGAGAAACCGCCAACGAGTTTGCGGACGAGTTATACCGACTGTGCAAATCGGCATACCCCTCCATCTCCCAAACGGATTGCAGCGATGCCGTACTGTATCACTTTATTAAGTATAAAGAACATCCAGAACTACGGCGTTCACTCCTCCTACAACCGCCCCGCGACTTAAAGGAAGCCATTGACCGCGTCAACATATATTCTACAATTCCACATAATGAACTCTCCCCCCAACCATCCTTCAGGAATTCCCAAGCACAAAACTGGCGGCGATATGACACCGGTAACCAGAACCGATCCGGCCCCTTCAACCGGCCACAATATCCCAAACGCGGCGGTTACAACCCATCCTACAATCGGCAGGTCTGTGCATGTGATAATCCACAGACAAGTGCACACAACAGGCTCCCTGGATCGGGTACGTATTCGATTCCACTTGTCACTCAGCTTCATGCTACGATACAACCATTCTATATTGATATTTCCCTCAATGAGGGCCGAATTAGAGCGTTAATCGATACAGGGGCGACGATATCCCTAGTAAACTCACAGGTACTATCATACGCCCAAAATGCGCAGATGGACACAAGACCCCAACTCACACGTTTGACCACCGCCGACGGCTCTCGGTTAAACTGTGTCGGCAGAATCTCGTTGAAACTTACATTCCAGTCCGGATTGAAAGATCACACCTTTTTGGTAGTGCCAGGATTAACCTGGGATGTTTTGCTTGGGCTCGATTTTCTCAGCCGATATGATTGTACCATTCGGGTCCGTCAGCGTACCATCGAATTTCACAAGCCACCATGTACCACACAGTTCATTCCGCCTACGTTCGACGAAGACGCAGTCTGTGCCGCCATTCAAGCTAACGTTGCATTACCAACTATCCACATTGACACTATGTTGCCTGACACCACGAGTGTAACCACATACGGTCGCGAGACGTTGAGAACCTTACTAATAGACTTCGCCGAGGTCTTCGCGTGGGATGAAGACTCCTTGGGTAGAACAGCATATCTGAGACATTCGATCGACACGGGCAGTGCCAAACCGGTCTGGCAACCACCTCGACGCATACCGGCTCATTTCCGTCAGGAAGTCAATCAACTTGTTGATTTCATGCTTAAGAACCGAATAATACGGCCGACAAACTCACCCTGGGCATCCCCCGTCACACTTGTACCAAAAAGACGGGAAACTACGTCTTTGTATCGACTACCGCAGATTAAATGCGCTGACTACTCGAGACTCGTTTCCACTTCCGCAAATAGACGTAACCCTTGACGCCCTGGCGGGCGCAAGATGGTTTTCTACATTAGACCTGAAATCAGGGTACTGGCAGATTGAAATAGAACCTACAGACCGACACAAGACAGCATTTACCCTTCCACAAGGACTGTTTGAATTTGAGACGATGCCATTTGGCTTATGCAATGCACCAGCCACATTTCAACGCCTAATGCAAGTTGTGCTTGTCCATCTCCTGCCAAACCAGTGTCTGGTATATCTAGACGACGTTATCGTCTTTGGACGCACGATAGCCCAACATAATCAAAACCTCACGGCCGTCCTAGTCGCGCTGCGCGATGCGGGCTTACGCCTGAATCCACAAAAAAGCACATTTTTACGGGATAAAGTTACATATTTGGGGCATGAAATTTCTGAGGAAGGCATTCACGCTTCTCCGGAGAAAATCAATGCTGTTAAACTATGGCCAACTCCTAAATCCGTGACGGAACTCCGCAGTTTCCTTGGATTAGCATCATATTATCGGAAGTTCATCCTACACTTCGCATCAATAGCTCGACCCCTACATCGTTTAACAGAAAAGGGACGTAAGTTTACTTGGACTGACGAATGCCAAACTGCCTTCGACGATCTCAAAGCTCAACTCATCTCCGCACCCATACTCACATTGCCGAATACTGAAGCAGACGCACCGCCGTTTATCTTGGACACCGATGCCAGTGGTTTTGCAATGGGGGGCGTACTATCACAGGCTGATTCCACCGGGACCGAACGACCTATATGTTTCGCGAATAAGATGTTATCCAAGCCGCAGCGTAACTACTGTACCTACCGCCGCGAACTTCTGGCCCTAATAACGTTCGCTAGACAGTTTCGAGCATTTTTAATCGGCAAGCCTTTCATTGTGCGAACTGATCACAAAGCCCTACAGTGGCTACAGAATACTAAGGACGCAGAAGGCCAGTTAGCAAGATGGCAGGAAAAACTTCAACAATTTACTTTCACTTTTCAGTACCGACCAGGAACTAAACACGCCAACGCTGATGCCTTAACGCGTCGTACTGACCAGTCGACATCAGATGCAACCGAGGAACCAATTGATACAATCAATGCGGTGCACATAAGTGAGCCCACACGGCATCATTGGGCCGTTGCACAAAGCACCGATCCAGACACAGCAATCGTATATAATCATCAACGCACGGGCAGACATCGGCCCACTGACGAGGACCTTAGAGGATCATCAGAGGCCGCACATTCCTTACGCAACCAGTGGTCCAAACTTTTCATTGACAATGACTTGCTCTTCTTTAAAGATACCGTTACTTCTACACCACGTGTTGTCGTGCCGGGGAGTTTGGTGATCCCTGTCTTAACCGACTTACATCATGAACTAGGTCATGTGGGTCAGGCCAAACCTGAACAAGCAGTCAGACAGCGTTTCTGGTGGCCAAAACTACGCGAACAGGTGATCACTTTTTGTAACTCATGTCCTACCTGTGCATCCTTTAAAGCCCCTCAGCAGCGCTTTCGCGCGCCCCTTCAGCCTATGATCACAGGTTTCCCTTTCCAGAGAGTTGGTGTCGACATAATTGGACCGCTGACCTACTCGACCTCGGGACATCAAAACATTCTAGTCATGGTAGATTATTTTACCAAATGGGCAGAAGCCACACCACTTCGCAGACAAGATGCCCTGTCAGTAGCAACGGCTTTCTTTAACGACTGGATCTGTCGCTTTGGTGCCCCCCTCTCCCTGCACTCAGATTGTGGGGCCAATTTTGAAAGTAAACTAGTACAAGACGTTTGTGATCAGTTACACATTCATAAGACACGGACAACCCCAGCACATCCGGAAGGCAACGGACAAGTTGAACGCACCAATCGAACTCTTATAAACCTTTTAAAAGCGTTCGCCGAACATCACCGACCTTTCAACTGGGACGCCAGGTTACCTTACGCCTTGATGGCTTATCGTGCAGCAGTTCATTCCTCCACGGGATACTCGCCTTTTTTATGGTTACTGGACGGAATTTCCGACTCCCTATTGATTCTCACTTACCTAACGTGGAGTTAGAGTCTTTCACTACCGGCTCCTACTTACGAGAGCTTCAGGAACTACTGCGAATTAAGAATAATTTGGCCCGCGAACACTTAGGTTCAGCCTACCAACGACAAAAAGAAAACTTCGATGTGAAAATTGCGGGTACCCCGTATCAACCCGACGATCTTGTCTTACGTTTCCGACCTGTGCCACCCGTCGGCGTATCTGCAAAGTTTTTCCATCCGCGGGAAGGCCCCTTCCGCGTTCTTCGCGTTACCTCACCCACCACATACATCATACAAGACGCCGCCATGCCCAATAGTCCTTTCATTACTGCGCATTTTGACAAGTTAAAACCCTTCAGAGGCCGATTACCCCTCGCATCAGAAGAGAATCTACCCATTCTTCCCGATCACCTAGTGCCAGAACCCTCCAATGAAATAACCATACAGGACTCTTTACCAGCTATCCTTCGGGACCCTGCGGACAGGGCCCCCTCCTAAAGGGGGGGGGGAAGTGTGGTATGACAGAATTGAACTGATCCGTCCTTTTGTTGTTTTACGAACGTCCCTGTTTTTCTTCTAAGTTTCAGAATCGACTGGCGAGAACCGGATCCCAACCCCTGTAGCAGCCTCCAGCTCTACACTTCCCCTTGTGCAGCCAGATACTGAACCGAATTATTCTGTCAGAGAGACATCCCTTGACCAACGCAATCAAGGAGTCTGCCACACCCCTGTAACTCCCTTTCTCCGTGTTACAATTATTCGATTACAATAAACGGTTCCTTGTATCACTCCTGCTGACGATTGTTGCTGGATTACTTGTTATCATGTCGTCTGGGACACGGAATCAATCCATTGACGAGCCCTTCTCAGTTGGTCGTCCAGCGAAGGACTACGAAGGCACCGGCGATCTGAAGCCCCTACAGGACGAGGACAAGCTGGGTATTACAGGATGTTGAAAGCCGCAAAAATCAATGCTGTGGGCGATAATAAATGTGAAATTAGCAACCAGTTAAAAAAGTGGGAATCGCAAAATTTAAGTGAGTGTTCTCAGTTAAATGAGTAAAGTCTGGTATGTCTACTCTTGAATTATTGGAGAACTTTTGTCAAAGTCAAAAATTTGATTGCTTGGGGATAAATCGCGTTTCGAATTTGGTTTCAAATGTTCGCTCTCCGAGGAATTTAGTTACTTCGAGATTTGGACTTACTGTACGCTCTTAGAGCTTGCCGGAATTTAGACTTGAATTCGACTCATCAATATCTTCCTCCCAACTAGTCTCCTGCAGCACATTCCCAGAACTCCGATTTCGGCGTTCCTCGTTTCTCATACTTGCAAGCCCAGAAAGTCGGATTATCTGAAGAACAATTTATCCAAAGTTTCTACAAAGGCTGAGTCTCTTTTCTACTATTAGACATTGTTTCATCACCGCCTCAAAGTATTTGTCTAAATTTTTGCTCTCGGAAGCTTCTCGACCATACCTTCCCATTCAGCTAAAGAAGTTACTATCTACCGAAAGATCGTCATAAAGGCCTTTCCTTCATACTTAAGTCTACGCTCTTTGTGTATATAGAAAAGTTATCCAGAATGTTGGAGTCTGCACTAGTTCCAAAGTAACGCGCACTTGGGATTTGAACCGGAGACCTCAAAACTTAGGGCTCGCTCCGCTAACCCCTACACCACCGACACACGGTTGGGCAGCTCAGTTGAAAGCTTTATTAATTCGTCACCGCAGGATCTGGCAGGATATTCATGTAATGGTTGTCAAACGATAGCCTACAAGATGCATCAACTAGAGGAAGAAGTAAGAAATCTGAAGGAACTTATACACAAGACTGTTCCTTCAGAGGACCGCCCGATGTTATCTACGCTGAGGCTTACTCGGAGTAGAGCGAGAGCCATCCAGCGTAAGGAATCCCCAGAAAGTAATTATGGGGTGAATAAGACAACTACTATTAGTAATCAAGTCGTGGCTTCCGATGAAAAAAAGGGTAAGAGGAAGAAGAAGACACTTAACACCACAGGGAAAAGTCGCCAGAATACGAAAGAGAGTATATTAGCCTTACCCGAAAAGCGGTTGGAAAATGAAACGAATGTAAATGTGCCAACGGAAGAAGTGGAAGTAATGGGGCAGATGACGCCCAATCTTAATAATTCCCAGACAGTGTTCTCATTTCCTGAGCCTAACTTAGAGGGATTATCAGTTAGCGCAAAGACATATGGCTATGGACCCAGGGTAGAATTAGCTGCCACCGCGAATTCCCATGTCAACAGAGTCAAGAACCGAGCTGAGGAGGCCTCTAATTCATGGGGGTCAAGCTCTCCACAGAGCCCTCTGATGGGAGGTATTGTTGATAGATCCCAGTGTGCAACTATTCACGATGCCTTAACAGGATCCGCGGACGAACTTCACGGGGACATAAATACCAATATGGCAGCCCCTTCCTCTTCTCCAGTCCACTTTGACGAGGCAATAGGGCCAGCCAACGACGTCCAAATCGCAGAAAACAGAGGAATGCTTAATAAGGACCACTGTGTCATAATTCAGGGCCTCGCAGAGTCCTCCGCCATTTCCCCCAGGGAACGAATCGCTGCTGACTTAGAGCAATTCCAGAAACTCCTCAATGAAATGCTGCAACCAACAGAAGGTGTCACAGTCCTAAAGGCGTTTCGTCTTGGTAGCCGTACAAATGCCGCCCCGAAGACGCGACCACGACCCCTAAAAATCGTCCTTGGTAGCAATGAGCAGGCGAAACTAATACTTTCCAGGCGTTTTCGATTGAAGCATTCCCATAAAGGAGTGTTTTTTCAGCCGGACTACTCACCTGCCGAGAGAATGAAACGCCGCGAACTTGCCCCAGAATTGAGAACACGGCAAACCAACGGAGAGAAAAACTTGACAATCTACAAAGACCGGATTGTCAAACGACATTCCGCTCCCCTCTGGATCAAGCCGATCCGAATGACTGCACAGCTACCCCAGTAGCCCGTGTCGGGTTTGAAAACAAATCTCGCATGAACTCGAAACTCATATTCATGTATACCAACGCGCAAAGTGTACTCTCTAAACTGGACGAACACCGTATCCATACCTACGATCTCCATCCAGATGTTATCTCAATAACAGAAACATGGTTGTCCGAACAGGTTGATGATAGAGAGCTCATGCTCCCTGGATTTCAACTGTTCCGCCGAGACAGAGAAAACAGAAGGGGTGGAGGCATAATAACATTTGTTAAGAACGGCTTGCACGCTTCAGAAAAAACTGCCCAACTGACTTGTAGTACCGAAGCATTATGGCTGACCATAAGGGCACCGGGCTCTCAAAGTCTCGATATCTTGACACTATATCGCCCCCCGAGAAATGACCCTGACGCTGATGCCCAACTGCTGGAGGAGCTCAGATTATTTTCAACGCGGCCGACCACTCTCATCGTTGGAGATTTTAATGCACCTCACATCGACTGGAGCTCGGCCTCAGCCGACTGCTCTGAAGCAGCATTTGACCAGCAGCTACTGCGTACCTCCGACAACCTGCTTCTCACACAACATGTAATGTTTCCAACGAGAGTTCGGGAGGGCCAACAGATGAACTGCCTCGATCTTGTGTTCACCAAGTCGTCTGACAACATCGACGTTGTGAATTGCCTCCCCCCGTTGGGTCAGAGTGACCATGTAGTTCTCATGTGGGAATACACGTTATTCTCCCTTCCTACACAACCGCTCGATTCCCGACCTAATATTTGGCGCGGCGATTTCGAAAAGATGAAAAAGGATCTTAGTCCTATCGACTGGGCATCCACTCTCTCTGGTGATGTCGAAGAGGCTTGGTGTCAGTTCAAAGAGTTAGTCCACAACCTCATCTCCAACCACTGCCCAATCATGCGCAAAAGACTAACAAATAGACCTCGCTGGTTGACTCCGTCATTAAAGAAGGAAGTTAACAAGAAGAGGAAGCTATGGAAAAGATCGCTGACGGATCGCACGCCAGAATCCCTAAGCAGTTATAAGTTACAGAGAAATCGGGTCAAAATTCTCATCGCCAGAGATAGGAAAGCTTTTGAAAAGAATCTTTTGAACCGTGCCATGATTAATCCAAAAATCTTTTACAGCTACATAAAACAGAGCACACGGAACAAAGATCCTGTCCCACTGCTGCGAACGGCTGAGGGTGTGGAAATCTCCGATGACAAGGATAAGGCTGAACATCTCTCTCAGTTCTTCCGGTCTGTCGCGACAAGTGAACCTGCTTTTTTCTCACCCGCTTATGAAGACGATGAAACGCCTACCCTCGAAGCCGTCTTCTTCACCGAAACAATTGTCCGGAATGAGTTAGTAAACCTAAAAGAATCGACCTCCCCAGGCCCTGATGCAATCCCGGCCAAGCTGCTGAAGGAACTAGCTTCCGAAATGTCCAAGCCGTTAGCCTTGATCTTTCAAACGTCATTTGTTACTGGATGCCTGCCCTCTGACTGGAAGTCCGCTACCATCACTCCGCTTTTTAAGGGTGGAAGTCGTGCGTCTGCGAATAACTACAGGCCAGTGAGTCTTACCTCCATCTGTTGCAAAATCATGGAGAAGATCATTAAGAAGGCCTTGGTGCAGTTCCTCGAGCAGCACCATCTCCTTTCTGATGCCCAACACGGCTTTCGAAGTGGTAGGTCCTGCCTCACGAATCTGCTCTTTACGCTCGAACGCTGGACCAAAGCACGTGATGAAGGCAACGTGGTGCACGCCATCTACATCGACTTCAAAAAGGCTTTCGACAGCGTTCCTCATCAACGTCTCTGGTACAAACTGCGGAACGCTGGAATTCGTGGACGCCTTCTTGTATGGATCCAGAGCTTTTTGGCTGGACGGTCCCAGAGAGTGCAGGTCGGGCGTCAACAGTCCTCAGATGTAAGCGTGGTGAGTGGCGTCCCACAGGGCTCAGTCTTAGGTCCCACGTTATTCCTCGTTTTCGTAAATGACTGCTTCAAGGACCAAGACTGTGATGCCATCCTGTTTGCCGACGACATAAAATTGTGGAAAGTTATTCACAATGCGGCAGACGCAGACCACCTGCAAGCAAACTTGAACAGGCTCGAAGACTGGTCGAAGCGCTGGCTTATGCCCTTCAATATAAGCAAGTGTAACTTTCTTCAACTCGGCGGCTTCAGAGCCCCCAGCCCCAGGACCTACTTTCTACACGGCACACCACTGCAACAGGTTGACAGTCAGAAGGACCTGGGTGTATGGATTACATCTTCACTCAAACCAACACTGCACTGCGCGAAGGCGGCTAAATCGGCTACGGCCACATTGCAACTCATTAGGCGAGCATTTATGGGATTTGACCCTGACTGCTTTTCCAAAATATTTGGCACCTTCGTGCGACCTCATCTAGAATACGCCATACAGGCGTGGAGACCCTGGACTGCCAAGGATTATACCGTCTTGGAGAAGGTCCACAGACGGGCGACCAAAATGACACAAGGTCTGGGAGCACTGCCATATGAAACCAGACTGTCAATCCTAAACCTGTTTCCCCTTTCCTACAGGCAATTACGTGGTGACCTTATACTAACATTTCGCATCATCAACGGCCTAGACTGTTGTTTAGATCCCACTGATTATTTCACCCAAGCT